AAAGTGATTCTGTTCTCGGCCAAATGGTCAATAGGCATGTGTAGACATAGGAGGTTCGAAAATACTGCAATACGACGGCCTGTTTCCAGATTTCACTTCAGAAATAGAGCCAACATATACATAAATAAATACACATATATAAATACACACGTACATAAACACACGCACATACATACATACATACGTACATACATACATACATACATACATACATACATACATACATACATACATACATAAACGCATAAATATAGACATATATAAATACATAAATACACACATATACACATATATATAATAAACACATACACAAATACACACACACACACACACACACTCATACACAGACATACACATAGCTTCTGCACAATTTGCATTTCATCAGTGTTGCGAAAACGCATAAAAAGGAAAGTGCTTCTTAGAAATGAGTATTTTAGATGGTGAAATCCGCGCAGCGGCTTGGTAGACTGTTTTTTGCATGCATTTTGCAACTGATCGACGTATTTTACATACTTCCTCTCACACATCTCAAATGTATTGCACATTACATAAAATCTCATCGTGCTTGTTGCATTCGAGGTTGTCGGCGGCCCTAAGTACATGTTATGGAAATTGTGTTGCAGACAGGCATTCTCGTTGGTAGCTGTTTCGTTTGGCGGTGGCAACTTCGGGATTCTAGTCCGCAAGAACTGGAGTTGTTCCGGTAGCAGTGTGGTTTCGTGGAGCTGAGTGGTTGTTGTTGTTGCGTTGATGAGCGGGCGTCGATGAGCGATCGCGAGAGGGCCACCCCGATCACAATTCGTCTGGAGATAGAGCACGGCGCGCCGTTGATCCATTTTCAGTTCGAGGACGGTAAGTGTTTGGCAAATTTTCTCGCTAACCTCCGTCCCTCTCGTCCCTCCTCGCTGCTCTGTGGTTTTGGAGATGTCTTTTGGCCACTCCTTGGAGCGGTTGTTCGATCATCGGTTGTTCGAGCCCGGTTTGGCTGCGGTCGCTGGTCCCTGGCACTCCTTCCTGCTTCTTTTGGATGTTACTCTCATGCAATACCCCCCCACTTAAAAAAGCCGAGGTTGGCTTGCGAGGAATGTCTGCACCAGGCGTTTTGCTCCACGTAGTTCACGAGTGGTCAATTTCAGAGGTGCGAGACAGAGCGGTGCCGGTCGAGAAGAGAGCGATGACCGAAGCAAGGAAAGCCGAGAAAGCGGTGGCACGTGCCAAAGTGGAAGATCCCGCAGCAGCAGCAGTTGCTGCTGAACGAACATCCGATTCGGTAAGCGAAGGGGACAAGGAGGAGAGGGCAGTGAAGGGGGGAGGGGCAACGTCCTCAGCATATGCGACTTAAGGTTAAAGAAAAAGTATAAATAGCAACGCGCACCAGACTGACCGGTGCGATCATGCGTTTTGTGCAATTCAGCGCATTGAACGATTGCCTGTTAATGATTTTCACTGCTTTGTACTTTAGTCTATGCAAAAATAGTTCAAACATTGAAAACCAGACCCTATTAATGATTTTCACTGCTTTGTACTTTAGTCTGTGCAAAAATAGTTCAAACATTGGAAAACAATTAAAAATTTCACGCACCAGCGCATGAAAGCTGAATTCGAAACCTTGAAGGGTGAATGTCTTTCCGTGATTCCCGAGTTAATAGCTTAACCACCAAAATTCTCACGAGGCGGTAGGTGATATTCAGCAAACAGCGAGGGAACGCCGAATTTGAATAGGCAAGGTTGAGCGTGGGCAGGGGATCATTATTCCAAAATTTCAGCTTCCGAGACCCCGCGATTTCCGAGCTAATAATTTACCCGCAGAAATATTCACTAGCCCATAGGTGATACCCGAGAGCGCGGGAACACTGAATTTGAATTGGCAAGGTTGAGCGTGGGCAGGGTGTCATTACTATAAAAACTTTCACGGGATCGTATGAGTTGCCCGCGGGTACGGGAAGGCTGGATTTAAATTTGCCGCGTCACCTGTTGGCGGAGAACGTTATACCATAATTTCAGCCGCCTAGCTTTTGTGGTTCCCGAGTTGAAAGTGCGGGACAAAATGTGGGACACACACACGCACACAGACAACCCGTGATAATATGCGTTTTGTAACGCTGTTACACAGCACAAAACGCATAAAAAATATAAGGAAAAATGATGGAAAGCATGAAAAGAATTATTAAAATATGCAAGAATTGTTTCGGTCCATTAAGTCGTATACATTTCTTACCTTTACCACAATTGGACCACATCGTCAGTATGACGATTTGTAAGGTAAAAGAGTTTTGTAAGGTACTTTAGTGAGATAGAGACTGAATAATTGATTAATATGTATGGAAAAGTAAAATACAGAATGGAAAGTAGAAGTTGTAGAAGAAATAAAAGGACAAGTTAAAGGGATTGAGGTAAGTATTGGAGCCATCTCACATCCCCTTCAGTTTTCCCCGAAACTTCTGCGTTGACTTGCGCAGTCACTGGTGGATCCAGAGGGGTTGTTTCCCTACGCATCCAGGAGCACAGGTAGCAGCTGTTTTACTGTAGAAAACTCTTCGATACAGCCTGTCATCCCCCTCCTCCCAGAAGCCCGATCTTTCCCGGTTGTCGCCTTAGTTTAGGTCGACTAGCAAAGATCGAGGGTTGGGTAGCGGACCGACCGAGGTGGGGGGAAGGAGGGAGGGGGAGAGGTTTAATGAAGAAGGGAGAAGGGAAGGTGAAAAATCGCCTGGAGAGCGCCCTGGATCCATCTTATGTGCGTAGTAGTTTGTTGATAAGCTCATTTTGGCCAGTTTTGCTACCCCCATCGTAACAGTTTCTAATTCCAAAATTTCGCTCTTTCCATATTTACATACAAATCCCTCTGTTCTACTGTTTGATGAAGAATACGGTTAACTTTGGTGCACTTGAGTCAACTGCACTTCACCACGTGGTTCTCAGCTATGCAGTTTGAGCTTTTCAAGATAATTCAAGCAATACTGCATCGCATGTTGCTCAGCCTGCTGACATTCTGACGTGCGTTTTGTCTCCTGAACGAATTACCAGCTCAATGATTCCTCCACCTTCGGGAGATTTTTATCTGTTTAAAGATGTCCTTGATGTGTTTTGAACATCAGCTCCCACCATTTTACGACCAGGAGGAGAAGACTGGGCAGCTGCGGGAAAAACGCTCAAACACCTCTTTATTAGTACAACCGCAAAA